ACAATCCAATTGATGAACGCATAGTCGGTGTATATAATGATCAGATATATGGACACAATGCAGACAATACCGCACGGATCGCATCGGGGCCTCCACTCAGCCATACCCTCCTCATCACTGAACGGATGCCAACAATAATGAGCCAACAATTGTGGTAATCATAGCCGAAGACAGACAGAGAGATGATGTGATTGTGATTATAGTTATAACACTGTATTACACAATACGAGCGAAGACTGCATTCAAAACACTGTAATAATCATAACATTGAGGAAAAGTGAGAGTAAAGAGACTGACTGTGAGAGTGAATGAGTGAAGGGATCGTTATGTGAGTGGAAAGCGCTCCCAATAATCGCTATAAGGTGTACAACATTTCGTAATACATTACACAATCCATTGCATCAATTCATTGCTTCATATGTTTTACCAAAACTTTTGATTTATTGCAAATTATTCAGAATTAATTTTATTTGTTAATTAATTTCATAGGAAAATATCACAAAATATACATGATTTTAAACATAATGTAACGATAATTAAAAACAAAACAATGATATTTATATGGGATGTGCTGTCGATGGGCGTAAGACTACGGGATAACTGATTTAAGTGTTAATCCCATATTTGTAACAATGATTTCGTGTATTTGTCTGTATTTTTCTCTATATAATCCATATCTTCCAGTCTTTTAATGTTATCAATGACTTCATTGTCCAAATACTTGGTGTCGATATAGACTTCTTTGGGTATTACTTCTTCACTCATACTCTCATCTTCGGTGGCAATGGGTATCAAACCTCTGCACTGACACTCATTGCCCTGTATTTTGCAAACCCTTTTGTCGAAACACACCAGACATTGATTATGCTCTTCCGAATCGAAAGCTTTATTGAACTGCAAATTATATATGAATTCTCTAATAGTTTGCATATATTCTTCACTTTCTTTACTAAGTGTCAGTTCATTGGATCCGACGCCTGAGGCACAGGTCCTGTCCCGAGGCTTTCCATCGTTGAGTTTGCCGTTCGTGTCGTCAAAACAGTCCCAATAGAAGTCTTGCATAAAAATATCGCCCATTTGTGTCAATAGTGCCAAAGAAAAGCCCGATTTGTCGCCGCTATCCAAGAGTTGTATCCCTCGATAGAAATAGTCATTGAATTGAGTGTCGATATCGTGTGGAGTGGATGTGTGTAATGGCAGGTGAAGGGACGAGAGGGCCGTCAGCTCTGCCACTGATTTAAATGACATCAAACAGTTGTGTCTGATGTCAGACGTGACCACAATCTCACTCTTTGCGGCCTCATTATCAACGACTAGACTCTTGAGATTTTGTATCACTATCTTCGGCAACATATGTCTCAATTGGATTAACTGTTAGTTAATAAACAAAATTAAATTAAATCATAAATCTATTGAAAGAGAACTTACATTCATCTGAGGATATCTACAATCAGTGATAAACAAATGATAATCTGTGGCCACAAACAGTTGGTATGGATTGAGTTTTGACGGCAAAAATTTGTAAAACATTTCCCATTTATATTGATTATCATTATGTTTGGTGTCAATGATCTTAATGCATGAGCCATCAGCTCTTGTATCGCATCCCACTATTTGATTGTTCTGTCCATAGAGGAAGATATTAGGATCACATGGACTCCACTCGACACCAATTTGTGTCTTCGCAGACAATGTCTTATCAAATNTTTGGCGGCGGTGTTGGCGTCGAAAAGACCGGATCCGTTGTAATCCAAGAGCGACGAGAAGCCGAAACAGTGGTGTCTTTGGTTGAACGAGTAGTTCCGGTCGCAGATGTTGTGGTGGTTTGGCGTTAAGTATGCATTTCTTCGGCTCATTGTCTTCAAAACATCACTTCATTTGATTCAAAAAGTTTGTGTCAAAAACGTTAAACATATGAAAACAAGACATCAATTATGTCCTCAATATTCAACTCATTTTATGCTAAAATTAGTGCAAAATATGTTTATATTGTTTGACGTTATTTATAGTCAAAGTTGTGTTTATAACACAACAAAAAATAAGTCAATTATTAAAACTGTGATTAAAACTAATTTAATTGTGATATAAATTAAATTAAAAGTGTGTTAAACACAAAACAATTACAAAACAAATATAAAAGTGTTATAAAAATAATATATTTCTATTGACATGTGTTTTATAAACCATTAATTGAGTTATGAATGCATTGAAACCCAATTAAAAAGTGAGCCAAAAGTAAAACAACAAATTAAAAGAGTTTTAACTAAAAAAATAACTAAAAGTTATAAAAAATAAATAATTTCTAAATAATTAAATTAAAAGCCCATTGAATGCCATCTGTTATTGAGATTNAAAAGTGAGCCAAAAGTAAAACAACAAATTAAAAGAGTTTTAACTAAAAAAATAACTAAAAGTTATAAAAAATAAATAATTTCTAAATAATTAAATTAAAAGCCCATTGAATGCCATCTGTTATTGAGATTAATGTCATTTTGTTTATAACTAATAGATATTTCACAACATTGTTATCATATCTACCATTCATTGCACGCGTTATATGAATGCTATTTATAGATGTCTTCAAATGGTGTGACAATTGGATGAACTGATGCTCTCATTGAGTGGCAAACAGGAGCTGAAGAAGTGAAGAGCGAAGTCATACCGAAGATGTCGTTGAAATCGTTGAAACACTACCGCATTGGCGACATTATCACCACATGTAAGCCATTGGCGTATGTAGTGGTCGACCAAATGAAGACACGTCTCTGCGATTACTGTCTCCAGAAGAAGCGGCCGCTCATGTCGTGCGACGATTGCCACCAAATGTTTTACTGCAATCAGATCTGTCAGCAGAACGACTGGTCCGCCCATCGGCTCGAGTGTCATATACTGGCCAATAGTCCGCACCTCAAGTCCTCCGCCAAACTGATGATCCGTTTGTGGCTTTTGTCGGAAAACAATCCGTCGTTTGCTTTTCAGGTCCACTCACTTCCGAACGGACAGTACTTATGTCTCAATGACATGAAAGTCAACGGATATATCGACGAAGATATCAATGCACTAATGGATCAAATGACAGATAATTCGATTCCCGATTTAGAAGACTTGAGTTGTTTGGATCACATCTCGACTAAAGATATGGCAGTTCTTCAGTTCAAAGCGTTGATCGAGACGTTCAATGAATGCCAAATCGATGCCGATTTAGTGAAACTATGGAAACTGTTTCTCCGGGTGTGGAGTAATGTCCTGAAGATGGATGTGTTGGACTTCGACAGCGGAGACTCCGCTTACGGGCTATTCGTCGAGATATCCTCTTTGAGCCACTCGTGCGAACCGAACGCATGTTATGTCAGTTACGGCACAAGACTTCAAGTCCGAGCCATCAAACCAATCAAACCGAACGAAGAAATCACTATCAGTTACATCGATATCGCGAACTCGAAAGCCGTTCGACAACAACTACTTAAGTCATACTTCATTGTCTGTAATTGTCTTAAATGTCAAAGCAGTTCAGAATCTGTTATTAAATACGATGTGTTCGACCAACTGAGCGAAGAGTTGAATTCAATGATCAAAGGGATCAATAAACACAACATAGAGGACCTGTTGTCGACGGCCGACCAATTGGTGCCCTTTTATGAGAGCATATATGAAGACTGTTATCCAGAATTAAGTATATTCTTAATGAAGTACTTAAAGGTAATGCTTATGAACGCAATCGACACGAAAGCAGTGGTAAACCGAAAGTTTTTGGATTTTGTTGTCCATAATGTGAGTACAACTCATGGCGTCGACCATCGCCTCTATAAGAAGTTAACTATTGTTCGCGACATTACGCTCAAGGATTTGGCCACAGATGCGGATCAAGTGATCAAATGTCTTAAAGCGAAACCAATGCCTCGACTCGTTAACTATAGTCTCAGAGCTTTGCTATGTCTCGTCATTTATATCATATTTTATACTAATTTTGGAGATTTTTTCCGTAAAGTGTTTGAATAATAATAATGTTTTAGATATAGAATTAATGTTAAGATTTCTAATCAAAGATTTAGTCAATTGTTATACTGTTTTGTATTGTATTGTCTCCTCAAAGAGGAATAATGTCTTAATATATCTTTAATATTTAAAATAAATACTTGTATTTTTTACACACAAACTCATAACATATTGTAATATATTGTAACGTATTTTGCAATTACTTGTGGTTAAGACAGTTAATCACTTCCAAGCGATTGATTTGTGTTGCGTTTGTCATAAATTCTTGTAAGCCATCGAAGGTAAGGCCGGCCAACGAATCCAAACGCAATGACTTTAGTTTATACAGCCTTTCGATTGAACTCAACGTCCGGTCTGTGATATCAATGCTCTTCAGCGATAAGTGTCTGATGTTTGGCAACAACTGGTCTATCATTGATAGCGAGGCATCAGTTAATGACCTGAAGTTAGTGGCGGTGTTGTTATCATCACTCGAGGTCTGTGCGTGTTTTCCACCACTGATTAGCGATAGGCTCTCCAATTGGCGACAGTTTCTCATTATAGAGAGCATTGAGTTGTCTTCAAAAACTGATTGAAAATTACTGTAAATTCTGTTCTCTTCTAAATGTAAATGTGTTAGCGATGAGAGACCAGACAATCCCGACAGCATCTGATTGTCATCGACGGTACGTTTGCTCTGAAACACCAGCTTTAAGGACAACAAATCGTTGAATTCGGTGCCCATTGTGTTGAATAGCGTGTAATCACTGTCGAAGACTTTGATTCTCATGTCTAACGCTCGTAAGTATCGACCATTTCCTTGACATTTAAAATATATTTATTATTTTGTGTCAAAAATTAATTATCAATAGTCTTACCATTCAATAGACCAGTGATTAATGAATTCTTGTGATTGTTGTGATCGACGGCCGCCACGAATGTGTGTATCTTAAGGCCCAAGTGTTGCAAATGATTGCCATAGTCTTCGAGGACACTGTCCTCTAAACTAAAATACTTAAGATTCGCGAAACCCTTGGCTATGATCTCGACGGACGTCTCGTTGTATACGGAAAGAGTCAAATGAGTCAAATTCGGGAACCACTCGACCAACAGTTTCAGGGACTTCGTGTCCAGCGATCGACATCGTGTCAAATGAAGTTCATTCAACATAATCAAGTGGTTCGTCAGCGAAGACACTATGTTATAGTTGGTTGTGGCCAACGATGAGCGCATTTTGGGACACCGTTTGAATCGCATGACCCGTATGTTAGGCATCCGCGCGACCACTGAATCAAAGGCCCGACCGTTGAACACATGCTCGCCGTTGAAGAAGTGGTCGCCGTTTAGTTTGCAGTTATATGTCATTTGGCGACAGTTCTCGAGGTATGCGTCGATTTGCCTCAAGAAGTATTTATTGACTTTTCGGCACAAAAACACGTCAAACAGCGACAGATACTGAAGGATGTGATGAAAGCTGTGCTCATCCAAGTCGGTGATGTGCGTCTGGCGGCGACCCAACAGATCCACCGATCCCTTCATTATATGGCTCAACACATCCATGATATCCGACAGAGAGTTACCACTCATGGATGCGGACGGACACCGACTCCCAGGAGAGTGAGAGCGACAATGAATGAGAGATAAGTGTGTGTCTCGTTGTGCGGACCAAACGCTTCAGTCATTCATGTATTTTCTCTCTCGACTTCTCTCTCGACTTCTCTCTGCAGCGAAAAGCTATGGCACAGAAAAAGGCACTCAAATATCGATTGACTTTCGGATACTATAACTCATTAAACGCTTTACTCTAACGTCAGACCGAAAAATGCCACACAATCTCTGCTCTCAATGTATTCCTCGCATTGTATTAAACGATACAGTATTTTGTATGTGATATAACAGTACAGAATACTATAACTCATTAAACGCTTTACTCTAACGTCAGACCGAAAAATGCCACACAATCTCTGCTCTCAATGTATTCCTCGCATTGTATTAAACGATACAGTATTTTGTATGTGATATAACAGTACAGATATTATTATATTATACTCTTATATAATACATACACTACTCTTGTATAATATTATTATACTCTTCATGTGAATCAATAAACTAATTATGTTTTTCTCGCTGTGTTTTACAAAATAAACTCACTATTTATTTAATTATAATGTTTATGATTATGTTTTCTTCTATGTCTGTCTGTGAAGCTAATAATAAAATTCACTTTTTATATTATTTTCATACATGTATTTATATAAAACCACTCACTATTTCATTGATTACAGAATTTCAATACTTACAGTTATATATGGGGTAAAGTATATGTAGTGTAATCTTATCTCATGTGTTGTTTTTTGCAATTTTTCACTTAATTTTCTTCAATATTAATGAAACTATGGTTCAAATGCTATCAATAAAAACCTAATCATAGAAACAATATTAAATTACAATATAATTTATATTGACTTTTATCATACCTAAGGGTGCCATCAGTTTTTTTACTGTCCTTTTCATCCAAACATTACATTAAAAAATCCTTTTCTCTCTTCGGCTGTCATTAGAACTTTCTTTATTACAAGCGATGAATAATTTAATGTACGGTATAATAAAATCACACATTTATTTGTATTATAGTTAATATTTAGGACACATTTTAGAGATTGAATTTTGTTTTGTTTTTTTGTATTACATTTTTAATGTTTTAATGCTCTCTATATAAAGCATATGATTGTTAGGCGTATTTCGCTATTCTTTGACCACACAATTAAATTATGTTCAAATCATTAGCTTTGATCTGATATTAAACGAAAACACAATTAATTGTATTTATTTTTTCACTTTTGTGTCATGTATTGCAGATGACAATAGGAACTACACTACTAATGATTGTCACAAACAATCGCTTGTAATTATCTTATAATTACTGAATCCAATGGTTTATCAATTATATATCACAACTGTTTTTTCCAATGACTTTCAATTAATGTGTATTTATGTTTAGTTTTAATTAATGTAATGCCAGTTACCATAGATTTAAACCATTTGGGAATTATTTATTACATATACACTGAATATCTAATTTGAATTATGTTATCTATTAATGCAAAACATTTACTGAATATTTAATGACAATTTTGATCTCATTTATCGATTAAAACGATTTTAACTCTTGTATTGAAAAACAAATTTTAACGAATATTAATATTAATAGTCTGTTATTATGGATTTCGTAATAATTTATGTATATTTAAACGATTACAATTTAATATTCATATCTAAACCCGTATTTTTTGTTCAAATATCACAAAACACTAAAAAGGAGAATATTTTGCATACTTTACATAAGTATTGCAAGTCTTTATGAATTTGTTTAGCAATTTGTCTAAATATTTAACAGTAAACTCACAACAAAATGATTTGCATTATATTATATGATATTTGACTGTATTTTACGATTTGCAAAGAAATAAATAATTTATGTCTCAATTCAAGGTTTGTATTTCAATTCCTGTCACTCTTTCAGCACTTTTCGCCATACATTTGCTAACAATTCAATATTCTTACGTCTGATTGAAACAAATATCGCACATAAACACAATGACAAGTGAAAGGCTAGTATAGAGGCCTCCCATCTATAGTATACTAACATAACATAAGCGCAAGAATTTGAATGAAATTCTTTATTGGATTCTTTATTGAGAAAAATTCTGCGACGAGTTTATGGGTCACAAGAATTATGTCAATCGATACGACAAAAAATTTTATTTAATGTGTTTTATCTTTTTTAAAATGAAAAACATATAAAATAAAATGTTTTTAATAAAAAAAAGTTATAAATTGGTCGAGTCTTGTGAGTCCTGTTCGGCCATCAGAACAATGAGTCCGTTGTCTGCGTCCAAAAGAATGGTCTCTCCATTAGTGATGATATGACACGCGTTTTCGACGCCCACTAAACAGGGAATACCGTATTCCCGGGCAATGACCGCACCGTGCGATACGAGTCCTCCTATTTCGGTCGCAATTCCGCTTATCATTGGTAAGTATGGACTCCACCCGATGTCTGTGCTGTATGTGACCAATATATCACCAGGCTAGAGTTGTATAATTTATTCAATACTATTAATTTATATTATTTTTTATATAAAATTGTTTAGTTAGAAGCCTTTTGTAAATAATAAACAGTAAATATATTAATAAATTTTTGCCTTTAGATTCTTTGCGTCATCAAAGCATTTACAGACACAGGCCTTAGCTTTGATACTACCGGTGCAAACAGGGGTTCCCTTAATTACATCATTTTCCCCATTCATATACGCCTCGCTCTGAGACTTCTTGTCCATATACTTAATAACAGTAATAATTAAAATTAATTATATATAAATTAATCCTATGTTTGGGAAAAGTCATACATTTCTCGGTCTAATGTTAGGCCCGATAGACATCTCGTCGTAAACATATTTATCGAGTTTCGGATAAATCTTTTTCCGTTGTTTGGCTTTCATAACAATTTTTGGATCTCTTATTTGAGTCAAAACATTCAATTCATGTAATGTTAAATAAAAGATTAGATCCGGATCTGGAATCCGTCCCTCTCTATAACACATCATTTCTCCCATTTTGTACAACAATTGTCTGAATTTGTCAATACATTTGATGTCAAACTGTTTGGAGGCCTCCCTGTCGGCCACCGATCGCTGACACGCCGGTAATATCCAGTTCTTCAGCAGATATTTCTGTTTTCTTGTGATCGGACTTTTGATTCTAGATATGAGTTCATCTTTGGTCAGAACCGATGGACTTTGACTTTCCCTCAACGGAACCATTGTCTGAAGAGTTGTCACTAACAGCAACCTATTTCTAGACCAAGTGGTGGTCAACAAATCCCATTCTTTATAACCTCTAAAACCGTAATTTTCCATAAATTGTTTATACAGTTCTCCCGTCTCTTCGTTATTGTTTTCGAGCCATTCGAGGGCTTCTTCAGGAGATTTTTGTTTAAAACTTTGCGGATCTTTAATAGATTTGGCCAATGATTTCATGGCCGCCGGAACGTCGGCACTCACTATACTGTTCCCAGTGGTGGACAACACATTCGCAAAGTCAGGCAATAGATTAGTGTTTGTTTTGACATCTCGTGTGATAATTAAGAAATATTGATTACAATTAAAACTAAGAATTAATAAACACAACAAATATAATACCGATATTTCCGTTTGAGAGAATAGTTAACAACATTAGATTATAAATCGATGATTTTGTCGATATTTTTAAATGAATATCCAGACACTATACCAACAGAATTGCATTAAATTAGTAACCAATATGTGCTTTTGTAAGTAAATGTTTTTACATGTTAAATTAAATGTATTTGTTAAACTATTTGTTGATTAAAATAAATTACAACAAACCTCTGAAATGAGAGTCATATTATCGGCGAATACTTTAAATATTTCCTTTGAATTCTTATAATTAGATTCTTTAACAAAATTCAAGCCATCCTTTCGTTTAATAAGAGATTTGAGTTCCTTTTTAGAGAATAAGCTGAGGAAAGCGTCCTTTTGTTTGGAGAGCTTTATTTTCATGGATGGGATGCCATTCCTCTCAAAACTGTCTTCTCTCAGTTGGATGTCATCCACCGGATGTCCAAATGCCGCCAAAACTAATGCTTTTTGAGTAAAATCCTCGTATTCTTCCGGAGCGAACGCAAAGAACGAAAGCTTTAAATCAAATTAAATTCATTAATTATAATTTTTATTTAATATTTAATCAATAAAACAAAATTCACATCTTTTAATGAGAAGAAGACGGCGTAATTGCTTATGGAAACACTTTGACAGAGACGCCGGTGCGGCACATATCGCAGACCATTGCTATTTAATATGTTTCCCTGAGATAAAGTAAAATGATTAAATTAATTGTTACCACAAATAGTACCCTAAAAACCCACAGATACGCCGCGGCTTATCTGATGAAAAAAGTGTATTTTATGAAAAAATTAGAGAATCGGCTTATCTGTGGGTTCGGATAATTTTTGGGCATATTTAATCATAAAATATGTTAATTAAAAACGATTTTAATTTAAAATTTAAATAATTATATTTATTAAGATAGTTTAATTACAAAATACAGACAATTTAGAGCTTATCTGTGGGTTCAGCCTAGCTATAGTTCCGCATATAAAGTTATAAAGTTTGCTTTATATTTACAATTCCTATTATCAATTTTCAATTCATATTTCCAAATTGCTTATTTATATATAAAATGATTATTGTACTTTGTTTCATATGAATATGATTACATTCCCGAAATCTTAATATACAGTATAATATAGAGTAAAAAAGTTTATAACACTAAATGTAAACAATTAATCAAGAGATTGGTTTACAGATTGTATCAGCCTTTTTATTAAATTTCTGTTTTATAACTTGGCAATTTTATAATGTTTCATGAATTATATGAATTAACTACGAGTAGTGTAACCATTGCATTCTGTATACTTATATAAAAACTAATGATTAATAATGTCCATAAGTTTTAAAAATTGCCCTGTATAAAATCGTCTTATACATAGGTACCGGCTTATCTGTGGGAACATTTTACTTTCAAAATTTTATTATCCGGCTTATACGCGGGTGGGCTTATTTGTGGGTTTTTAGGGTAGCTTAAATTATATGGCAATATACGTACGGATATGCTGAGCCACATGGCTCTGGTCAGAGATGTCAAGTATAGGGGTGAGAGGGCTCCGGGCATGACTTCGCCCAAATTGGCGCGAGTGTTGTACTCGGACTCGTCGAGGTGTCCGGTGTCCAACTCGTGGCTCAGTTCCCATTCGTTCATAGCGTGCAGATGTGTAACGGGTCTCGATTGAAACAAATAATATTTGCCATCTTTCAGACCCCACTCGATATCGCGTTCACAACCAAAACACTTTTGTATTTTGAGACCAATTTCGCCCAATTTTCTCATTTGTTCGTCACTTAAACAGCACTTGTCTTTCACTGAAATGTTTTGCTCGACTTCAGTGCCTCCGGAGACGGACTTTTTGCTGATTCTTATCGCAGTTTCTTTCGCTCCAATCACTACACTATCAATTGATTTGATATCCCATTGAGTATCGTATGAATTGGATTCCATGTCCACCAATAGACTAATGTTATCGGGATTTACAGTCGCCGACACAACAGACTAAATGTAATTATAAATAAAATCAATTTCATGTTATAAGAAATAACAAAATAGATTACTTCTCCGATCCCGTAATTAGCATTAATGGTGATCTTATTGGGCGCACCATTGAGTGGATCACATGTGAACATAACGCCGGCGACATCGCAGTCAATCATTTGCTGTACGACAACAGCCATCGGTGTGTTTACTATCTGTCCGTAACCTCTCTTATACTCGACAGCGATTACATTGAATTGAGAGGACCAACACTTCAATACATTATTGCATATATCCTCTAAACCTTTGACCCCTAAATATGTGCTCATTTGTCCGGCGGCTGACATGTCTTCAGAGTCTTCGCCACAGGCGGACGAACGGACGGCCACAAGAATATCACTGTCGTTACCGTTTGGATCAAAACTCTTGAGCGCATTCTTAATGCATTCTTTCACCAGAGATGGCATTTCAATGTTTGAGAAGATAGTCATTACATTCAAACATTCCTCCTGAAGATTATCCCTCTTCTCAGACCTTAAATATAATCAAAACTCTTGAGCGCATTCTTAATGCATTCTTTCACCAGAGATGGCATTTCAATGTTTGAGAAGATAGTCATTACATTCAAACATTCCTCCTGAAGATTATCCCTCTTCTCAGACCTTAAATATACAGGAATATAATAAGTATATAAAATTGATTGATATATTCATTGGATAACAAACCATGAAAGTGATTGCAATGCTTCAATTGCCTCTCTTAGATGTAAATTTTCATTTAAAACTAATTTATATGCATTAGTGGTGACAATGAATCCGTTGGGAACTATTGGGAACTCAAATAAACACATTTGGCTCAGACTTTTCAACAGACAGAGTGACGATCCCTTTCCTCCGGTTATGCTTTCATTTGACGCTTTTTTGTCGTTAAAATTTAGGACTAATTCTAGCGATTCTTCTTTCTTAAAGATGTTCACTAAATCCATGTTTGGCTCAAATTCTTTCATTTTGGGATAAATCTCATTGTTTTGCATTAAAAGTCCAGAACTTTTGTGTCCATTGATTGTCAAATCGCAGATATTGTTATCTCTTACGACCAATTCATTGACAGTGAGTTTCTTTCCATTAATTTTTATTTGAAAACTTTTAGGAAACGCTTGTTTGTCATCATTTGATTGAACATCACTTATAAATTCTTGTATCGGATAAACAGAGCCATGAGCTGCGAGCGCCCATCCATAGTATAAACTTAACATAATCATAATTTGTCAAATATTTTTAAGTGAAATATTGAAATATTAACAAATATTCTTACGTTTTAGTGATATTTTTATCATGAAGAGTATTAATTTTAATTAATTCAAAAGCAATGCCTTTCTATGGAAATATATAAACAAAATCAATACAGATTCACGTTTTATATTCATTTGAAATAAGACCAAACCTCAGAATATGCCATAATTGTTGACTTTTCGCAGTTATATTTTAAAGTATAGGCGCCTATATATTCTGTGTCCGACTTTGAAATACCTTTAGCCCGAGTGCCCCACAGAAACAACTCCTCTTCGCTCTCGTTATTCAATTGAAAAATGCCTTTCAATTGTCCGCAACCGACATATCTTTCCTCAAA